TCGATGCTCGAAGAAGGTGTTCATAATAGACAATCCGTTGTTTGTACAAAACCGCAACAACTTCATGCCGCTATTGTTGAGGTCGCTAGGGCCGTTTTTCGCAATCACGCCGTTCCACGTTTCAACGTCTACTCCGACGTGGCATTAAAATCGCCCATCAATATGAGGGGCTCTGTATTCGGCACTTCCTCAGTGAAGGTTTCATATTCTCCCTCCAAACTGTGGGCGCATAGACCCCTACCAAGGTCATCAATTTAGCCTGTTGTTGCTTCTTACCACCCTTCCGTTGATAGGCTTCCAGTCGATTATTCTATCGACAAGGTTGGGTTCTGCCGGGCAACACCGGCCTGAGCGCGAGTCGTGATATCGACGCCTGAGTAGAACAGCTTCCATCCATTGAGGTTCAGAAGTCCAGAGCCTGGGCGTTTTGTTGACGAGAGTCCAAAAATGTCGAGTGGGTAATTCGTGACCTCATCAACCAATCCTTGTTCTTTTCTTCTGAGTGATGATATGTTGCAATTTCCGACTTTAAGCTCCCACTGGTGGTATGGTTCTCGTGGAGCCTTTTCTGACGTGCTGTAATGGTATCGCGATGTCTGGCTCCAAAGTTCAGAACGGGTAGCGGCTCTGTTGCTTACTGGTATCTTCGTCGTCGTTGCGTCGGTCTTCGTCAGTCGTCGTCATTCTGCTGCGGCCCCGGCTGCTAGAAGGCAGTGAGCAGGTTCTGATCGTCAACTTCTTGCAGCCTTCCTCAGTCGCCCAACAGCCTGCGCGGCCCTTTGTATCCTGGGCGACGACCGCCCCGGTATAATTTTCGGTGACGGAAATAATATGGGGGAAGGAGGGTCAGATGCTAAGTTTTACTAAGTCTCGCCACGGTCTCCAACCTTCCGCGGTTCTCATCTGGACTTCGGACTGGCAGCGGCGGAATTTTGATGTTATTTTCTCTCTATTTTCTAATCTAGGGTGCTTGATGTGAGGCCCACTATGCTATCCTTTTTCTGCTACGCGGTAGATATTTTTTGTGTTCTCTTGCAGAATTTGAAAAAGATGAAGCATTTGGGCTGATATTGTCTTCAGACCATGTCATGTCTTTCCCAGGTCTTTGTGATTGTCAAGAAAGTTTGCAGAGCGAGCGATTGCTTTAGATGGTTGTTCCGCTCGAAGTTATCACGAAAAGTGGTGCATAGGTTCAGGCATCTTTGGTTATGCTTTCCATAGCCGGCACAGTGTCGCCTATAGGTTTATTAGTATTAGTATAGCAAACAATTCTGTATGCATCATGTGTTTTGCATATTATTCATGTGAATTTTGAATCTTTTGTGACACGTGTCAGTGATGGAATGATAAGTTGCTCGACGCGATTGGGGAATACCTTAAATTATAACTCTCGAATAAGGCGAACGAGTGGGAGAGAGAACTTCACATGCATGTTGCTGAACAAAAGATTGGCAGCTCCATATACCGTTGTATGTTTAATAGATTGTCATAGAGTTAAAATCAGCTACTTAATTATCTTCACTGAAAGACTTGGCTGTTTTATATTTGGAGAAATGCAGTAGTCCAGGTATTATTTAATTCTTTGTGCACATGCTAGGTAGAGTTACCGGGTTCAAATCCTAGTGCATAGTACATATTCTCTTATTGACTGCTGTCTCCCTCTTCAGCAAAAAGTTCACCCCGCAGCGCTTCAGTGCAACTAAGTGACCGCCAGGGTAAGTCGCTAACCTATGAATAATGAAGAAGCGTAGGTTCTAGTGTTATTATGTCACAGCGTGCAATATGTATGGCTATGATGCCTGGTGGTGGCAGATTATGACAGAAACTCACCAAGACTCGCCTGCTGTTCATTGTAAATCAGCACAAGACGTAAACTATGAATTTAAGGTTAGAAAATTGATGGTAAATAAATGGACGTCATGCGTTCATGGTCATTTAGATCTTTTGTTCTAATCCAACAGTATTAATAATCGATTTAGAGGGTGAGTGGTGTGATGAGAAGCTTACTCTGGTTTCTCTAAGAATTTATACAGACGGTGACTCTACTTTCTTCCTATAGTGATAGATGTCCTCTATGATAGATTTGCTTGAAAGTCGTAAGCTGATTTGACAATCTCTGCTCATCGGTACTTTCTCATCCGACCGATGCAACTTTTATCACAATTCTGCGATGTTTAAAAAATGCGGCATGCAATCGAATCCGCCAACTTTGATTGTTCCTAGTTATTTTCGAAGTGAAAATCTATGCTAGATTAGTGGATATGACATTTTCATTTTTCTGATTTGTATATACGCTCGATGGTGAATGAAGCTAAATATATTTTAAAAATGGGTTATCCTTTCGGTGCCTGATCAGTGCAAGGAAAAGTTCTTCTGTTTGCTGCATTTTAGACTTGTATTCATATTTTTACGCTACTCAGATAGTACTGAGTTTTAGTGAGCTGTAATGTGATTCAAGGCTTATTTCAGCATATACTCATTAGACTGCATCATATTAAGTCTCGGAAACTGTTTATTGATTGCACTGAAGCATCATGCTATTCTCATATTCACAGATTGTCGATTTGCATTCCGTTTCTCAGCTGGTTGCACCGATAGATGGCATGGTGAATTACTTCTTTGCCCAACTCAACCATAACATCAGCCCCCCGGGTTTTGCCCTGATGCGGTTCAAGGCGTAGTTCTCTCACATTTGATTTTCAGTATGTTCACCAGTGACTGCACATTGTCAGTGCCCCATTCAGATGTATTAATTGTGCTATTATTATTTACGATATTATCGCAATAAGACGCCTCAGGTGGCCGAAGGCTGGTGGCATATGAGATTGGTATTATGGCTGTGTGTAACTTCCCCGCATCCAGCGTTCTAGGGCTCAATTCATTCTAAGCACACGAATGGATGTGTTTTGCGAAATACTGAAAGCTAGGCACTCCTCGACCTTTCTGAATCTATCTTGAGCGTTACGACCCAAAATGCAGATGAAATATTTAGGACTCATCCTATGCACTGACGTCTCCTGGCTTGAACAAGTAAAACCCTTGGTGTGTCGCTGTTATCAGGCAGCATTTTGTATTAAAAGATTGATGACCATACACTCACAAAAATACGCGGTAAAATGATTTGTCATCAACTGTATTTTACCTTTGTAGATCTATGGTGTTACTATTGTATTCGCTGGATTTTTTTCGTTCAACCGTATAATGCTTCACAGGTCTTTATAAATGGTCTGCAGAATCAGTGGTCTCTAATTAAATGACATGGCAACTACACTGAGGGGGGCTACTATGACACACATAATCGGGACAGAATGGGAAGAGACATTTTTAACAACACTTTGCATCCTCTGCCTATCCATATCTTTGGATTTCTGTTCCGAAATTGCTCTTTGTATGTGAACATTTCAGGGAGGACCAAGCTTTTCACGAAGACAATTAGCCCATCATTGGCTCGATCTCTCCAAGATCCTAAAGCTGTCAAGCAGAGCTACTTGACCAAGCTTAGTTTGTCGTAGTTTGTGATCCAGTAGTCTTGTACATGTTATGCTACTATGTTCTTTCATATCTGCCTGAGATTTTTT